AGTAAAAAGCAACAAATCTCAGAAAAATTTGGGGTTGAAATTCTGTTTATTTGTGTCTGATTTGGTGATTTAGTGCTAGAATCGTGTGATTATGGGACTGCCCTTCAGTAAGATCATTGAACAAATGGAATTTTCCAACTACCCTCAAATTTCCTTTGTACTTCGAGCGTTTATCGAGATTTGTTCTTGAGCCTCGCCGCCTTCAATCGACCCGAGTGCTCTGATTTTTGCTCCAGACAAATTTCGACTCATTTTGAAGCCCACATTTGCCCTAAAAGTCTTATCGTCAAGATTGTCATGTTTAACTAACTTGTTGTGTTCTCTTTTCCAACGTTCGTGATCACGTTATGTGATGCTTGACGCAACCTTGGTTTGTTTTGTCCTAAGGAGTTGAATGACATTCGCTCCAGGCTCCCCTCGCTCGATGTTCGAGTGACGTACATCCCTCTAGAGCAAAGCTTTCAGCTTCTGAATGTGACCACTTTCTTTATTCATTAATTCCGTGCAGACAGATTCTTTCTTTTCTTTCTCGACTTGTTCCATTTTGCATAGACATCGATTTCCAGCTTTTCAAGAATTCTCGATGTGCCGTGTTAAGGCTGCCCTTGCGAGAACATTCACCTTTTTGAGAGAATCTTATATATAAAGCTGAATGTCTGTTTGTCTGTCTGTATGTCTGTCTGTCTGTATGTACGTATGTTCCGAATAGAAAATTCCATTTCTGAACCGATCGGGACCAAACTTGGCACACATACACTTCGGGCCCCGGCGGGTGTCATAGGCTACTTTTCGTCATCGATCGATATCGATTTTATCGATTTTTATCGATTTTTTTGCTGAGTTCACCTACGGGGCTGGGAGTTGGCACAGGGGGGTAATCGAGCATGGGGATTCCGAATACAATATTGGTTTTCAGGATTATCGATTACTTTTATCGATTTTATCGATTTTTTTGCAAAGTTTGAGCTACGGGGCTGGGAGTTGGCACAGGGGGGTAATCGAGCATGGGGATTCCGAATACAATATTGGTTTTCAGGATTATCGATTACTTTTATCGATTTTATCAATTTTTTGCAAAGTTTGAGCTATGGGGCTGGGAGTTCGCACAGGGGGGGGTAATCGAGCATGGGGATTCCGAATATAATATTGGTTTTCGGGATTATCGATTACTTTTATCGATTTTATCGATTTTTTTGCAAAGTTTGAGCTAGGGGGCTGGGAGTTGGTACAGGGGGGTAATCGAGCATGCTGATCATCCCCAAGGGGGGTGATCAGCATGCTCGATTACACCCCTGTGCCAAATTCCAGCCCCCTAGCTCAAATTTTCAAAAAATCGATAAAATCGATAAAAGTAATGGACGATCTTGAAAACTAATATTGTATTCGTAATCTGCATGCTCGATTACCCCCCTGTGCAAAATCCCAGCCTCGCATGTCAAACTTTACAAAAAAATCGATAAAATGGATAAAAGTAATGGACGATCCTGAAAACTAATATTGTGTTCGTAATCAGCATGCTCGATTACCCCCCTGTGCAAAATCCCAGCCTCGCATGTCAAAATTTACAAAAAATCGATAAAATCAATAAAAGCAATCGATAATTCTGAAAACTAATATTGTATTCGGAATCCCCATGCTCACTTCCCCCCCTGTGCCAACTCCTAGCCCTGTAGGTGAACTCTGCAAAGAAAACGATAAAAATCGGTAAAATCGACATCGATCGATAACGAAAAGTGGACTGTGACACCCGCCGGGGCCCGTAGTGTATGTGTGCCAAGTTTGGTCCGGATACGGCGGAGCCGGGTAAGCCAGCTAGTTGTTTATGAAGGAAGAGCTTTTGTTCACCTTACGTAGCATAGCTTTACATATTGTAGAATGACTGAATGATATTCTCTGGACAATTTTTTGAATTTTTTTTTGTATCTTGCTGATCACAGTGTCTAATGCTTCACCATAGTTTTATTAAAGTAAATTTTGTTATGAAAGTGCAATTGGTTACCAGTTTTTCGTTTGGTGCTATGTTAAGAGTGCTCTTTGCTCGAAACCAATTATCCCTGACGCGCTCCGCTTTGCAAAAATCGTTGTTCTCTGGCCTTGTACTCATTTTGCAAGATTGGTTGTACAATACTGGAGGTGTGTTTGGTGGGAAAGAGGTATGCGCATTATTCCACTTTTTTTTAATTTGCCAATTCACGGAGTAGAATACATTACTTTTTAATAGATCTAAGTTCTATTAGTCGAATCTTGTCTTACTAAGACTCCTTCCTTTTCTAAAAATTATGCGGGCTGCTATTTCTATACAAATTTGACATTTTTGAGGACCCTTTTTCCCATTTTGAATTCCTTTCTCAAGCTATCTTTTGTACAGGTTGTCAATTCAAAAGTGGATATTGTTCGAATATATTCTCGACAGAGAACCATGCACGAAAGCAGACTTATGCGTCATTGTCTCATGTATGAAGTTGTTTTCTGGAGCTATACATTAGCTATAGCTACAGTGCTGGCAAAATTATAGGTCCACTCTAAAAAGTGCCATAACTCACTCTGTTATCAATGAAATGTTCCAAAACTTGGTACAGCCGTGTGTTTACCAGCCTACTATCAGTCATCAGACTGGGTCTTGTTTTCGTTTGGTTATTCAAGAAAAAATTGAAAATTTTGGAAAAAGCAGGCTTGTAGGCTGAACAAAATTATAGGTCCACCTGGAGTTTTTAGTGATTAAAGCAATGCTTAGCTCCCGAATTTTTTCAGGTAGGCACACATCTAAAAACGTTAAACAGCTGCTTTGGTCAAGCTGTGTCATACCCCCAAAAAGAACTGGTTATCTGCTTTTTTGCCTTAAAAATGTTTTCACATGTATTTCGCTCCACAAACCTGCGTTGAGTAAGAAATTCTGCAGTTTTTCAGCTAGATCGGAAGCGACGGGGTTTCATCTGCCTTCTGGATGCTTTTTGAGGTGAGCATTGAGGAAAAAAAAATTCGACTTTTTGCTGCTGAAGCAAATTCGACATCGACTCAATCGGGAGAGTAAGCCTCAGTTTCTGCCCTAAAACCCTTTATGCACTGTCATTATAACCTCAAGATGTTGTAGAAGCATTCTTTACACAAGAATGAAGCTGTTCGCCATACTCGTAAGTGTCCACAAAGCTGCCTTACTTTTTTTCGAAACATGAGTTGTGTGTGCAACGTAATAATGGTGTTACGCAATCCAAAATAGCTTGCCAAGTGCTACCCCACTTAGATTTTTGACAGTAATTATTTACTAGATAGTGGGTACAGCTTGTAATGTATGTTAGCACATGATTCTTCTGAAAATTTTGGTCGGAGCCACAAATAGCTTTGATGCTTGTCGTAATTAGTTTCTGCAGGGTGATTTCAGTAATTATACTAGAATGCTAGGATCTCTAGAAAGTTGTAACCATGAAATACGGACTCCCCTTTGTAGAAACAATGCCTTTAATTCACTTAATGTTTTTAAGAACATTGTAAAAGAAGTTTGAAGGCAGGAATTTGAGCTCAGGATTGCAGTAATGTCAATGTCGGATTTGCTTCAGCAGCAAAAGGTCGGATTTTTTCCCCCAATGCTCACTTCAAAAAGCATCCAGAAGGTAGATGAAACCCCGTCGCTTCCTATCCAGCTGAAAAACTGCACAATTTCTTACTCAACGTAGGTTTGTAGAGCGAAATACATGTGAAAGCATTTTCAAGGCAAAAAAGCAAATAATCAGTTCTTTTTGGACGTATGACACAGCTTGACTAAAGCAACTGTTAAACGTTTTTAAATGTATACCTACCTAAAAAAATTCGGGAGCTAAGAATTGCTTTAATCACTAAAAACTCCAGGTGGACCTATAATTTTGTTCAGCCTTCAAGCCTGCTTTTTCCAACATTTTCAATTTTTTCTTGAATAACCGAACGAAAACGAGACCCATTCTAATGACTGATAGTAGGGCTGGTAAACACACGGCTGTACCAAATTTTGGAACATTTTATTGACAACAAAGTGAGTTATGGCACTTTTTAGAGTGGACCTATAATTTTGTCCAGCACCGTATAGTCATTTGCTCTTTGTTAGAGATTAGATCACATCTTTAAACAAGCAGAGCTGAGTGTAACCTTTGTGCCTCGTTAATCCCTTTACACCCTGCTGTGCGACATCCTTTGTAGTCGTAGTAATAAGTTCTAATGTAACTTTCGCTGAATAGCATGAGTTCTAAAGGCTAAGCTGCCATGCTTCATGCTTCTCACATCGTCTTTTCGCAAATTTTTCCTCATTGTCTTCTCGCACGAAGTCTTCTTCGTTTTCTCTTGTAATGGATAGCTCAAAGACATGTCATATTTGCTTATTACTTCACCACTTTCGCACGTCGCCCCATCCCCGCTAATATTTGCAGAACATAAAATTCCATTGTTTGTGCGGCAAAATGGGTTCAGTGCGGTTTTATGTCCGTCAATAATCCTTTTTTGTTGTTTTTTGATCTTCGATTCTGATTCTAACGATGATGATAAATGCGTTGCTTGATCTTTCTTAGAAAACATTTCCCAACATCTTTTTCTCATAGATGTACAAAAGGCTGTCAAAACAATACCCTTTTTCTTGAACTTTATCTCTTTTCCATCTGATATTTTATAGAAGGGACTAACTTTGGCGCGAAGGTCTCTGAAACTTAATATATTCACCTTCTCTTTACATTTTTCGTACCTCTATAAAGTTTTTCTAGTGTAGTGTGAGACCCAGCTACCATCCTTTGTTAGATCAATACGTGCATCCGACACTCTGATGCCATATGTCTTCTTAACGGCTTCTGACTTAGTGTCCTCTTCATATTTTGCCCCTATTTGATCTCTCCAATAATCCATTGTTGAGCGCAAATCCGCCATTCTCAGATAGTTGGAAGAATTAGACTTCTACCTGGGTTTCCTTGTTTTTTTTTTAGTTTTTTTCGAACTCTCATTTTTTTACGTTATTTTTGTGTACCTCTGTATTGCTTTTCTTTCAGATGCCTGACAGTAGTTCGCAGTCTCTTTCAATAAGTGTCAATGGCGACGCAAGTGACACAGACCAGACCATGGATCGGATTTCAATGGGATCAACGGATTCGAAGGTACCAATGCTTACATAGTAGATAGCTGTTTGTTCAGTAGTTTCATTGAACAAACTAGTGCGGGTGTAAAATTCTGCGGGAAAAAGGGGGGGGGGAGTCTTGGCAACTTCCCATGCATAGGTTTAGCGTTAATGACATGCCCCTACTATACGAACACGGAAGCAATTCGATCGACACTCGTGCGCGCGCCCGTGAATTCTACGCGCCCCTTAGGCACCAAACACCACTTCCCCGCGCTGAAGAGACTAAATATGCGCGTCTGCACTCAGAACAACAACAACGAATGTCTGAGCACCTTGATTTTTAAATCGAATAGATGTTTATATAAGCTTCACGTAGTATATGAATTTAGTATAATCAGTTGTACGACGTCATGCAGCGATTCTTTTTTTACGCCCAGAAAATTTGTAAAAACGATGTCGTAATTAGGAATTTTTGAAAAAAAAGCAAAACAAATAAATAAAAAATAGCACGTTCTTGTAGGATATACTGATGTAGTGCACGCTCAATATGTGGGCGGAGCAGTATATTGGGGAGGAGTTTGCCTCAATTTCTCGAACTTCATCCGAAAATGAGTACTTAATCCGAAAATGAGTCCATTCCATGAATTCCTGCATCCTTTGTCGTGAAATACGGAATTCTTTTTTGGGTGCATGGAAAAGTACTTTTCTGTCGAAAATACTGTGAGTTAGTACCATTGTTGTCGGGGAGGGGGGAGGTGGTGGTGGTATTTTGCCGTACTATGAATTTTTTGAAGTCTTTATTCGAAAGTGAGTCCACTTCAATTTTTTTTTGCACGATGATGCGTCGCAAATACGGAATTTATTTGAGTGCATATGAAAGCATTTCCTTGTCGGAAGTACTGTGATGCGATAATTTGGGCGGAGCTAATGTCGATGGGGAGGAGTCGCCCATTCCATCGATTTTTTTGACTTGTATGCGAAGAGCCCATTTTTCAAACGTCGTTTTTTTTTTTGAAATCTTGAATATTTAGCTACCCGTGCAGCTTCTTGCAACCAAAACCTTGAAAGGCTCAGCTAAAACTTTCATTTGGCCCGATATTTGTTTTGTCATGGTACTGGCGCATCGACACAACATATTCTGTGTTGCGTTCTGAGCCCCCATGCCCCACTCAATCAGCGTGTTTATAATGGCGTCTATGTGAATGATATTCATTGATTGTGAGCTAGTCTGTCTATTCGCAATGCTGTCTATACTGATACATAGACGTTCCTTCCAGTTTGCGGTTAATCGCTTTCAAGCATCGCTATATTTGCCGAAATTTCTAGATTAAGAACTATTGTTTCACTCGATAACAGTAAAGTATTTCTCGCTAATTTTTCCGTATATCTGGGCTACGGGGAGTCTTAGGAAAATCATCCACACCAGAGCATGAGTACCATTCTGCGTGTAGATCTTGAAGACGCCGTCTACTTAAATCCAAGATTCTTGGATTCAAATGCTGAATAATGGCGAGGTCCCCCTAGCAAGTTGAAGTCCGTTAATTAAAGGCACCGTCCACCCAAAATTTCGACCTCCATGTTTTTGCCGTTCCAGGGCCTTCTCATACCCCTGATTCCGAATATCAAGTTGAAAATTCGCGAAAACCACGAAAAACCCCGTTTTCAGGACCCACAGAGCGATTTCCTCGGTACGGTGGATTGGTTGGGCGCGCACGGATGGGCGGGACGAACGTCACGCCCACTCCGAAAGGGGAGGAGTCAGCGTCACGAACGCGGTCTGAAGCGATTTCCGAAGCAATTTTCTCGGTTCGGAAGCAACTTCAGGCAGCGCGAGTTGGGCAGGCATACAGTTGGGGGCCCCGCATCTGCTAGGTATCATAATTTCACCAACCCCAATTTGGGTGGACGGTGCCTTTAAGGTGCATTTTGAGGAGGGAAACTCGCTCCAGAAAGCAAATGCGATAGGGGTCGCAACGCCCATCAACGTGAATGGTCTAAAATAGGCCCAAAAGTAGACTTGAGTACCTGGACATGTCATTTTTTTTTCAGAGTGAAAGGTGTGTGACATTTCTTGATCTAGACGGGGTTATTTAGGAATACCCACTTTGATGGGCGTGGCGACCACTTTCGCATCAGTGTTCTGGAGCGATTTCCTCACCTCGGAATATACCTTTTGCCGATTGCTCAATTATAGTGCATTAGAATTGCACCGACCTCAAACTGGGGGTAGAGGTGCTTGTAGGCAGTATTTATTACATGGTAGGTTCCATGACTTTCTTTCCGACCTCATAGTGGGATTTATCTGCTGTTTCGACCATATGCATAAGCTTTACTCAATGACTCGTGAAATACATACCGTCATGGTGACAAGAGGCAACAAACTGTCAACATGCGCGTATCCAACTGTCAACATGCGCGTAGTTATCGAGACTATGATCGGATACGGCAGAAATTACCATACCAATAATCCGCTTTACAGGAAACAACAGCAAGTAAAATTGGTGTTTTGTTCGACAAGGCGAAGTCCAAAGGGAAGAAATTACTGACGAAGAACAAGGAACGCGAGAAGTCACCAGGTTGGTCTGACAGTCTGAAGGGTCCCGCATTCACTTTTATTGACTTTCCAACTGTTTCGAAGTGTAGCACAATTTGTGCAGTATATACAGCGTTGGGAGTGGCGTACCCAGGATTTCGGCTCGGGGGGGGGGGGCGACAAAAATTTTTTTCTAAAGAAGGTGCGTGGCGTTAGCCACGCACTGCGAAAAATTTTTTGGGGTGCTTCTCAAAATTTTTCAGGGTCCCCGACCCCTAAAATCTGGAAAAAGGGGGCGTGGCGTCAGCCACGCCCCCGAAAAATTTTTTTTTTATAGGGCTAAAATCAATTTTTAAAAAAATTTAAAAATTATTTTAATTATTTACAAGTAAAACAAGTCACTTGCACATTTTTATAACCCATGTAAGTAACTTTCAAAAATTTCGCGACCCGTTCTCGGGGGGGGGGGGCGCGCCCCCCGCCCCCCCCCCCCCGCCTCCCCCCTCGGTATGCCACTGAGCGTTGGTGATTGATCTACGAAAAACTCGGCCACCATAGCTTTCCTCTCATGTTGTTTCGTATGCCACCCTCTTGTTTACAGAGATGGCCGAGACGGCAGCTCAGTGCTTTATTATCAACCCACCACATTTGATGAGGGCACCTGAAGAAGATAAGAAGGTACAGGTAGCGATGGAGAAGGCGAAGGTGAGTGTTCATAATTTTTGTTCATCGCTCTCCTGTTTTATGTCTTTCATTCAAGTTTCTCTTTTCTTCTCTGTTTCGTTGTTCTTGCTACGCGTATCTTTTGCACATTGTTCTTAGTTTCAGAAAGACCCATTCATGGTTAACCACATCGCCCAACGTTTTCGGGGTTTACCCTTTTTCCAATACAGAATGATGTTTCTTGGAGCATTGCTTGCCGTCACTTTTGTTCTTCCCGGTAGGATAAACTTATGATACAGTTTTCTAGAGTTACCGAAGGTAAATATTGCCTCACATTTGCTTCTGCTTTCAGGTTTCTTCACCGGTCTGATTTGGGGCCTGTACCTGTCCTTCATTGGTTTCCTGTACTTCTTTGTGTCGGAACCTCGTCCAGTAGTAAGCATCATTGAATTTTCAGTTGTAGATGATAAACTCTGACCAGCAGTACATCACTGCACTCATAGAGTCATGTAGTATTTAGGGCAAATCATTTTAGTGTAAAGAGGCGGGATGAGACACACTTTCCGGGAAAGTATTTTAGTTTCGCGCAGTTGTTGCAAGATCACTAGAAATCTTGCGAAAAATGTATATTGTTTCAGAACATTTTTGAACCTTTGATTGTTCAGAGAACAGCATCGTTTCTATATTTTTTATGGATGTCCGTTTCTATATTTTTTATGGATGTCCGACTGATTTGTTGATTTCTTCTTTTTTTTTGCTGGGCAGTTAAGTGATTGGAAATGACACACGCAGATGAGGGAGCACGTTATCACGATCACGAATATAATATAGTTATCGTAGACATCAACCGCATTAGGCCTAAGGCATACCTCGCGCGATTCCGGTCGCTGCGCGATTCGGCACAACAGCGACTCTTCGTAAATCTTCGTGAATGCGTTGCCTTTGGTCAGAACTTGCTCGGTTTGCAACAACTTGCACAAGCTACCCAAATATGCGTCCGAGAAGCGCGCACGATACGCCAAGTCGCGTGAAAGTGGCGATTTGGCCGAATCGCGTGAGGTATGCCTTAGGCCTTATCAAATCATTGATTTCTGCAAACTTTTGGTAAAATCTTCGTATCGAATGCGAAAAAGTGAAAGAATGTCTTGATTGACTCTCTATATTGTTTTTGGCGGCGGGAACCCAAAAGACTTAAAAAGAGTAAAGCAAAACGTCTGTTTGTAAACAGGTGAAAGTGAATTGTTTACCTAGTATGGTAGATTTTCTCATATTATCTGGTGTTACGCAAAATTTTGTTGTAGGTCGATCGACATCCATCACTTGCCACCGATGAGGAGCCGGTGCCAGTTGAGTTTACTTTGGAACAAGGAACCGAAGCGAGTAATGCAGAAGGGAATGCTCTGGGACTTGGGGAGGGCATTATTTACCGGGTAAATTTTTTTCCGAAGAATTTCCGCATAAAATACCTCCCCTTTGGATTTCTTGATCTATTAAAATTTCAGGGTTGGATGAATGAACTAAAGTGTAGATACTCTCCCTTGACCTATCATGGAAATTACGCTCAATCGGTGCTTGTTAGGCTGGAAGTACGTGCTTTGTTTCAATTCTTTGGTGTTTCCTATTTTTGCCCCTCAGGGTTCGATACTGCGAATATCAAGACCAGCCAAAGCAGTACTGAAACACGCATTCCATGAAGATCCAACTCTCACACAACCTCCACCGACTATGGTGTCGCAAACTATCTACAACTTGGACGGTGCTCAGGTAAACTTCCAATCTTTCCTACACTGTAAAAAATTGCTGTTTGTAATGTCTTGAATCTTTATGCAGAATCTTTTTCTTCTTTTTTGCAGCAATTTTTTCTTTTATTCATAGTAAAGCAGTGCCATAGTAAATCGGCCAGTCACAGACTCACTTGCTTTTTTCTAGGCTATTTCATGTTACAATAAAAGAAACTTAAGACGACAAATGCTTTGGGAAATTTTCAAAATTAACCTACTTTTTTGAGGCAATGTATATGCCAGATTTGGAAGTCAGGGTAGAATTATCATATTCAAATTGCTGACTACCTCACTCAATTTAAGGTCTCTCTACGACCAAAACGTTTGGCTAGACGGCGATGGTGGAGTCGCAGATATCCGATCTACATAAGATTCGCAAAGAAACCAGGAGACATCGACCTTTCAAAACCAATGTCGAGGTATGTTGATCGTTTTGATTTTCTTTTTGTCAGGTTGGTCAGCTTTGAAGGCAGTGCACATTAAATACGGGCATCTGTTTTTTTTTTTATGTGGAAAATGGAAGTTTTTGAAAGCTGATGTATTAGAGTTAGCTTTATGACTCGCTTTTGACCAAAAAGTCCAGTCCAGAATTCTCGTCGACCGTAATGTTTCCCCCTGAGTACGGTAGTGGACGAAACTGTAGAGTATTGGTTAGGCAAAGTAATATTACGAGTTGCTGCTTGAGTGTTGGCTTGGGTAAGGAATTTCAGTTTTGTCCACATATAAGATTTGGGTACTCAGATTTCCCTATACGCTGCTTCTAACAATTTTTGTAATTTTCTGACGACGGAGGAGTCGAGGTCTTCTTGCTGTGATTTATCATCACCAGTTTCTCAGATCCAATTCTATGCATCCTGTGGAATCGGCCCCGGATAACCTGCCAATTGGAGGCGAAATAACACCATTTGATGATGGTTACAATGCTGAAACCGAGTCCAGTGGCAGCGATGACGAGCAGCACCAGCAGCTTGCTCGCTTGGGCCGTGCAAATTCTCTGAATGATCTGCCAGATTTTGTTGGTATGCCCGATGGATCTCTATCACGCCCTCGCGGCAAGAAGCGAACGATTTACCTGTTTGCTCGAGCGGCTCGCGAAAAGGAGCGTTGGTTCCATTTGTGAGTATTTGCTGTATTAATATCTGGTCCAAGGTTAACTGGAATGTGATTTAGGTTCCGTGAAGCATGCGCTCGTTCACACGCACAAAAACCATTTGCAGCGCGGAGCACAAGCGAGACCTATCACAGATCCAACTCTATTGTAAGTGCTTGTTGTCATTTCTGCATTTTTTTACTTCCATCGGACGTTGACTAGTTGGGTCTCATTTGAATTTGCGAAATCAAGGTGCCTATCCTGATTTCTCTTTATTTCTGAATTTCTGAACTTCACAACATTTCATGTATAAAATTTTTGCCAGTATGGCGGATTATAGTCTGAATTTTTTTGTTTTTTTTTGTTTTTTTTTGTAGAATTAGATGAAATGTAGTGACGTGAAAATGAACTTTTGGGAGAGTGTTTTTCTGCATGGTGCAGTTAGTCATCTCCGAAGTTTGCTGTGAAAGTCGCTGGTAAAAATAATATTTTTTGGCATATCTGATTTGTTTGATCCTGCTCACTTTTTATCACTGCCTGTTACTCGATCTGGAGATTGGGGTAAAAACCAAGTCTCACTATTTCGAATTCATCTCCGAAGATCCTGCTTGGAAGTTGCCAGCGATGAACTGGTTATAACTTTGAGATTTACGTACATTTCGCAATGGAGTCATCTAATTTTTTTCTCTGTAATTGAAAGTGTTGATCTATGTGTGTCTTCATTACAGGACAGCGTTTTAACTCCTCCTAACAAGCAGCATTCAAAAGCTGAGCCTACATTCGAGGATGCCGTCTACAAAAGAATACATAGACAATTCCTTGAGTGAGTTGAAATGAATTTTTGCTCTACAAAACAGGTAAAATGGATGATTCACAGACAAATGCTGTTGATTCGTGGTGCTGCAGTCTCAGCACCAGAGCGAGGATCTACAGTTTCGATCGATCTGGGCACCATGAAATGGAAGCCTGGTGTATTGGAAGCAAATTCAGACCTTGTGGAGGCTGTCAATTCGATTGGAACCAGGTGAGAATCATCGCTAAGCACAAATTTATTTTTGATATTTTGTATCGATTCAGAATATTCTTTGATTTTTGTCGTGATGAGTTTTGGGCCAGACAAGTACAGCAAAAAATTCAGAATAAGTTGGCTCAAATTCACGTAAGTCATTGTATTGAATTATTTGTACCATCTTATTTACATGTTTGTATTTAGCTCCCGTACTTCATTGAGAAATTGGAATTATCTTCTCTAACTCTTGGAAGAACTGCGCCTCGCATCGTCGGAGTATATGCGCCAATACTGAATGAATGGGGAACATGGGTTGACTTTGAGGTGACGGGGTATTCATTTTTTCTTCTATCTAGTCATCGTTTTTTCTTCTGTGGATATTCTTCCGCTTGAAAATTGGGACGAGGCTATTTCCCAAATGAATTCGACTTTTTCTGACGTTTCAGTTTAATCAAATTTCCGGCCAATTTTTGGCTTCCCGGTATTTTTTGTCGTCACCCTGCAGCTATCTTTTTGCTCTTCTAATTTCAACCTTTTCAGATTAAGTACGGGGGCGGCCTCCAGTTGGTGCTGCAAACGAGCGTGAATCTGGTAAAACTTCAAGGTGGAGCTTCTAAGGTAAGCTTTTGATCATTTACCTCTTGTTTTTTAACATGAAATTCTAATTGTAGGTTGAAGCAGCGCGTGACTTGAGCCGTGTCACAGATTCTATGGCAAGAAATGTATCCCGGTACTCAGATGAAGATATACCCGAGAGCCCCGAAAGTAGCCCTGATGAGGATTTCGGTGCCAAGAATAACCCCGAAGAGTAGGTTTTGCATGTTATCACAATATAGTTTGAGTTGAATAATATGTCAAAGTTTAGAGCAACCGTCAAGGAGAGGACAGGAAAGAAAATTATATCAATGGTGGAGCGAGCAGCTCAAAGCAGTATCTTCCAGAAAGCGGCTAAAATCAAGAAAGTAGCCAAGGTGCGTTTTTCAGTTCACATTTTTTCCGGATTTTGAAAAAGTTTCATTTCCTTATATGTTTCTTTGCAGCTGATCGAGGATGTTTCGTCAACACCGTTGATACTCAATGTTGAAGTGGAAATGCTTGAAGGGCCACTTACAGTCAATATTCCGCCGCCACCATCTGATAGATTATGGTCAGTCTTCATTCTCATCTTCTTAGCCTTTGCGATGACCTCCAAGAATTTGATTTTCTTGTTCTCTGCGCTGCTATATTCGAATACCTGCTTGATTTTTTTTATGACAGACCAATTGACTTGACTCAACTATTATTAAAGCTGCAGCTCATACAGTTTGTTTGCGACAAGGGAAAATTCAGATCCGCCAGCCTAGAGCTCACATTTTACCGAAAACTGAGCGCGGTTGATCAGCCAGCAAAAATGTGGTGTGCTATTCGGAGTTGAATTTTCCGGGAGAAATATGGGCTGCCGTTTCAGCTTTAGCGCTGCTAAGGACCCCTTCCCATCCGTATTCGCTTAAGGGCAGTGTCCGGGCAAAAACTCGACTCTGAGATTTTGTGCTTGCCCGGGTCTATTCGCAGTGAAAGACAGGTCTCCAGCATTTTTAACTCAAACCCAATTTAGCACACATTACTTTCGGACCATGTATGTTGATGAGCGGGACGGACGTATCCGCATTTGACTTCTGAGCGATTTTCTCGCTTTGGAATTAACCTTTGCGACGGGGTTTGGGCAGTTACTTAGTCAGGAACCCCATTATTGTACTATACAAAATCTCACCATCCTCAATTTGGGTGGACGATGCCTTCCTGGGGTCCAAGTCCTTAATTCACAAGGACTTCCTTTGAGTTTTGAATTTCGAAGCTTCCGTTAAAAATTCACGCCATTATTTCAAGGTATGGTTTCCGTCGATCACCACTGAAGTCCATCAAAGCTGTCCCTCAAGTAGGCGACAGATCGGTGGATTTGACCACTGTATCCGATTGGATTGAATCAAAGCTTCAACTTCTTCTTGAGAAGAACATAGTTTGTCCGAATATGGATGACCTCATTCTACCAGTAATGTCTGGAAATGATCTTATTCGCAAAGGTGCGTACAATCAGTGAGTGATCTTGCATCATACATATGTTCTTTCTGAGACGGATTCGTTCATTTTTTACAACCGCATGAATCACGTGGAACTTTGTTCTTACATTGTTGTACAGTATGATCGTTTATATTTTCCGTAATGTTAAGATCCCGGCTCTGCTTGATTATCGAGCATCTAGTCCTCATTACTTTTTGATCAAGCTCATTTTGTACAAAGATGTGATGTTTAAATTTTTTTTCATACCGGTCCCTGTTTTGCTTTCGCTTACACGGTTCTTGGAGTAGTTTTTGATAGTTTCCGAGTTAAACTCTTCTCTCCTCCCTGAAAAGTGTTTATTTTAGCATGTTAATAATGTTGTTCATTTTTTGCTTTCTTTCTAACAATTGTATAACCTTTGGCCACATTCCGCTTTTCATTCGAAGTAAACTAGCTTTATTCAATTCTTTGGCCGCTTTAGTACCTGTATTGCCAAAATAAAGCTTTTTACACATTCTTTACAAATGTCCTATATTCTAGAATTTGCACTCTGAAAGTATGTTTGCACTTTCGTCCCGACATCGAGTATGCGAGGTGAGAATGATCGTTGCCGACTTTTGCAGTTGTTGGTATTCCTACCTCATACTTCGGCTACGAGACGGATTAACTGAGCTTTGTCTTTGGTGAAGAGGTTATAAGAAAATGAGTGTAAGTAGGTGAGATTGATGGATTCAAGAGTTGCTTTTGAAGAAATGCACGCTTGGAGGCTTGACTTGTAGCAACACGTCCGGGCAATTTCCAGATGGGAGTAATGGATGTAGAGGGCGGAGCTACCAGTGTCGGAGCCTCCTTCCGGAGCGATTTTCTCGCTCCGGAAGCAACTTTACACAGCGCAACTCCTGTACCTGCCTAATCTAAGCGTCCACTATCACAAGCATAAGCATTTCCACTTCGAATAGACGGTGCCTTTAGCCCATCTGAGCGAAGCCTTCATCGATGTTTGGGAGGTAAGTCGTCTCTGCTTCGAACAGAAGAATGACTTGCTGGCTCTTAGTTTGAGCAAAATTATCACATGCACAGTATGTGTCTACGCAATGAAAAGAAACTATATAACCACTAGTCGTAAGTTGTGAAAAGTTACATGAATCTACGTATATCGTGGAAGCTCTCGAACTACCGCTAGTGTCGCGGATTGGGCCCCCAGCTCCCAACGTCAGTGGAGGGCTCTCCTGCATCGGCGAGTGGAGCCAGGGGTCCGCTCCGTGAGAAAGTGAAACGTATCATGTGAGGTGGCTACCGTGAAAATGCTATTTGTGCCTGCCACATGGGCACTCCATGCACACGTAGAGGCCCTTGCCACCGGCCTGCTTAGCAGTTACTCGACACTTGCGACTCGATTCATCCTCCCAACCATCGGCAGTTGGGGCATGGTAGTTATAACCAAGGCACTACCTAGGATTGTGCCTGGCTTCAACAGATCTTTCCCATTAGGCATGATTATAAATACACAATGACTAAGATGACTTGAGATATCTCCGGAGCCCATCAAAACAAATCACACGTGTAAAATGCCCACCATTTATCCACAACTATTCCCTGAACTCATACACAGGGGTGAGTACAACCAGCCAAATCTTAACCTAGGGGCCGGCAATATCGGAAACCCCCATGGCGGTGTCGCCGGCGTATGCCAGGCGCGAGCGCGCACGGGGTTACCTCGTCTGCGGGGTTGCCTGTCCTCCCTGGCGTGCTGGATGCAGAAGACGCGTGAGTTGGGACGGCGCTGCATCGATCGACACGTGTGAAGACGAAATTGGGACCCAACCGCTCACCAGGTTGAAAGCTGCGGCGGTAGCGATGGGAAGGCGGGAGCAGCGCGAGGACAGCGTTTCGAGACCCCTTCGCAGCGTGGCGGCGGCCTCCTTTATGGGAAGTCGCGAATCCGCGACAGATAGTACTTCGACCTTTGGTTCAGAAAACCTGTACCCTTGCCCATTTGTATGGCCTTTGATGATTACTCTCTTGGGAATATCATAGTTAGGGAGAACGGAACTTGGGTTTTTTGACAGCCAATACCGTAACGTCGTGCACGCTTAAGGTCTTCAGGATACAGCAACACGGCAAGCCCTGCCACCATAGCAGACCTTTTTGGATTAAGCCACTGAATATTAGTTCTGCCGCATCGCCAATCAAATTTCGCGAAAGTGACCTAATTTGTTGACAAATGTTCGAACTGGGTCCTAGAAAGTTTAGTTCTGGGTCAAATGTATGAGAAAAAATCAGGAAAGCCAATTGGCACTTCATCAGTAAAATTTTTGAGTTATTTTGAGTTTTGACAACGCCCCTATCAAAAATAAAAAGTTCAAAGAACTTGAATCAAATGTAGGAAGCTCAACTTGGAGTTAAATGGACGAGGAAAAATCAGGAAAACCAAACGGGGCTAGATCAAGCTATCAGAAGAAAAAGCTGATTTTGACTCTCATTGAAGATTTCAATCCAAACAACTTTTCAGAGGTGATTACACAGGAATGAGAAGCGGAGAAAAGACTCAAATGATCAAACATATGTTAAGCGAGCGGGAAATATCGTGGGTAATATCAAAATACTTGGTTCATACTTCTTTAACCTTTCTGAATATTCTAGGACTGACTTTTGAAAAAAAAATTAAAAATATTAAATTCGTTTTGAATGGGTAAAGCAAGCTTCATTATCTGGGAAGGAAGTTGGCTTGAAATTTGCCTTGAAATTTGAAATCGACAGCGGATGCGCAATGATTTTCCAGAGTCAAAATTGAATGCATATGAAAGTTTCTTATATTAGTGGCTGTCTCTGTCAAAATATGGAGGTGGGTCATGATTGGTTCATTGCTACAGAGCCTTAGTTGGAAATTAGTGACATCTGAAATGAACACCCTACTATCGCCCATAACGATGAATGATGATAGCACTGGCAGCAGTATATAAAGCGGCCATTACTGCAGAAACATTCAGTTTGTTAGTACTTCATCAGATGCTGTGGATTTTGTGCTGTATACTGAAGGCCTTCGCCGCTGCCTGCATTGTTGGACTATGCATTAACTTTCGGAAGAAGACTGGTGAGGGAAGGAATTGATTTGTTCTCACATGGTGGATGACTCTTCCCTGCTTAGGTGCGAAGTCCGGGTCGGATTTAGCTGCGGGTAAATCTGCTAGCAAGGAAAACCGTCCGATGCCGCGGTCAAAAGCGTCGAAGTCCAAAGTTACGAAGAAGTCAGGAACATCCACCACTCCAGCCTCCACCGCAGGGCCACCCACAGTTCTTTCAAAGATATTTTCACATAACACAGATCAAGGTTTGAGAATATCTTCAGACTGCTGGAATGGGAAAATGAGCTTCACTTTCAGCTAAAGCACAGCAAAAGTCAACTAGTGTACCATCGCCATCGACGGAGATTTTCTGGAAAGTTAGAAATAGAAGTAGGTCTCTTGAAGAGTCTACGCCGATCAAGGAAGATTTGGGGGACATACAGTTGGTTCGACCGAAATATAGTAAGCAAAGTATCTTGCCCTCTACACGCATGGAAGTCGCCAAGGTGCTCGTGATTGCAGAAAGACGAGATTCTCGTGAGTTTATGCGGGAACGTCGTACTATTGAGAAAAGATCTAGCGCAGAAATACCCAGTGAAACAGTGGGTTTCTAAAAAATGAATTATGATTTATGATTTCTGAAAAGAACAATTTCTGTTCTAGTCAAGCATCGATGATACATTGCATGGCGTCGAATCACTGAAGACTGACGTATTTACCTCATACGCACCCCGAATGTCACAAGAATCTCTGAGAAAGAAGCGTGTATCTGAACCCATTACCAATGAAGTTAAATAAACTTTCAATGAAAGTTGCTGATGAATTTTTATGACATGAAATTCTATGAAGTTCTGTAGTTCTTACTCTGGTGTCCATCCGTTTGCCGACAGGCAAGATTACTCGACGTTTTCATAAGAATCAACCCAGGATAACCGGTCACCTCGGACCCTTTTTCAAGGGAAGGAGGTAGATGCTGTATTAGTCGCCAGCATAGTTACTGCATTGCGATACCTCTCGCCCCTCCCCCTCCCGCAATCATGTCATGATGACTTACCTCGGAACAAATCCATTTCGATTCAACGCACCCTCGTGATGCTGACACTAAAGGGAGTTCCCGGCATATTTTGCATTTCCACATTTTCGCACGTTTCAGTCCTTTTCGACACGTAGAGCCCGAATTTGAGCTTTGAACCGAATGAAAGGTCGTTTCTGGGCGTCCCTTCCGATGTGCAGCTCGGACGAGTGTTGCAACGGAAATAGAGAGATCTCGGACGAAAACCCTGCCGCCGCTTTGGATAGCATGCACAATGCGGAAACCTTCGTGGGGTCCCGCGCGAACAAGTAAGCGGAACGCACCGATTGGAGTTGCGCGCGCCGGTTCCACAGCTAGTTTTTCGGCGCAGGAGTAACATTAGCCAGCCGGACTGGGCCTGGAGGTTGATGGGGAACCACAAAACCCACCACAGCTATTTCCCACATTGCACGATTCTGTTGGGACACTGCCTCTAAAATCACCCCGTTTACATGACTACAGCGAAATGCCAGTAATGTGATGAGCTTTCATTTTTGAATGTACATACGTCAACAAATCAATGAATTAGAAGAAAAGAACCCAGTGAAAGGAAGCGAGAAGTAGCTTGTAAAACATGTGTATGCAAGGTTTGGTGCCTACTGGTTAACATAGAAACGGCTAAGTCACAAACTTTGAGTTTCATAGGTGTAAAAATAAGAAACCCAAACTTGTGATCCACCATGATTTTTAGCTTCTGAAGTTTGAAAATTTCAGAGCAAAACCAAATCTTCCAGTGAAATAAAAAGCGAGCATAAGTTCATCCTTAATTGTCTTTTTTATTGCACGCTAAGTGCGTCCATTACAAAGAGTACGAGTAAAAAGCTAAAAAGGCACTGAGCTCAAGACATTAAAACTACTATCTGAACATTATGGTCTTAAGCAACAACCACACTCCGTGAAAGTCACTCGTACTACCGCACCATCACAACATGATATTGGACTTGTACTTACTTAATTGAATACTTAGATGGCCCGTCTTCACGTGGCGTGAGGGCCACAGCACAAAAGCTGCCATTTGTCCCTGTCCCTCGCTTAAGACATCCACGATCTTCTTGGTTGCCGTCGGTGGCTGCGTCCACGAGTTCCAGGTGCGATAATCGTACAGCTGATTTCTCAGTTGGTCCATCCGTCTTACAAATATATCTGCCATCTCGTCGGTGGTCTTCCTCGGGGACGTTTGGCTTCGCGAGGAATCCACTCAGATGTTTTTAGTATCCATCTATCGTCTGTTCTTCTCATGATGTGACCGGCCCATCGGTGCTTCGCTTTCGCAACGTATTCCGCTGGGTCACGAAGACGGGACATTCTTCTCATATCCGTATTGCGAAATCCGACTAGATGTTGCTTGTGTCAGGTCATCTTTAGAAGACTGCGCTCGAGCGCTCTGTGGGTGGTCCGTAAGGCTTTTGACGTGGCTACTGTGTCAGCCCTAGTCTCAGCTGCGTAGCAGAGCGCCTAGAGAACGGTTGAGTTAAACAGGTGGGCACGAAGCTCCGGGTCCATCAGTTGGTGGGTGGTTTCCTTCAGAGGCCCGAAGGCACCCCAGGCTGCTCATCTTCTCCTGTTAAGTTCTTCCTTCAAGTCGTTCTCCATGTTCATCGAACGTCCGAGATACATGTAAGAAGACGTCTCCATAATAGGGATGCCTTCCAGTTCCATTTCTGCATCTTCGCAAAGGGCGTTCTTCATGAACTGAGTCTTCTTCCGATTTATTCGCAATCCGATCTTCTTTCCTACTTCGTTTAGTTCCTTCAGCATCTTCTCTGCTTCGGTGATACTGCTCGAGAAGAGAACGATGTCGTCCGCAAAATGAAGGTTAGACAGGAATCTCCCATCAACTCGTATGCCTCTCTCGTCCCAGTCCAGTGACTTCATCACCCACAGCAAGGCCGCGGTGAACAGCTTTGGCGAAATTGTGTCGCCTTGTCGGACCCCCTTCCCGATTGGAATGGTCAGGGGCGATGGAACGGCTGCATCTTGTTGTACAGTCCTTGTAGCAGTTGGCTAGTGTTCTCACGTAAGCTGGGTCCACTCCTTGATCGACTAGCGCTGACAGGATGGCGTTGGTTTCGACGCTGTCGAAGGCTTTCTCGTAGTCGACGAAGGTTAGGACGAGAGGCAGTCGGTACTCCCGGCGGACTTCTATGACTCTCGAAACCGTCTGGATGTGTTCCATGCAGCTGAACCCCTTGCGGAATCCACCCTGTTCTTGGGGTTGATATTGGACTTGTAGCATTCAAAATTGACTACATTCACTGGTTCTGTTGCTGGTGGGTTGAACTGCCAGAAATTCGGTAGTTTTCCAGGTAACATTACATGGCAAAAGAAAGTAGGGAGCAAGCTTAGTTGTAAGACCATGCATACGCAAGTGATTGCTATTATCGTATTTAATTCAATGTCCGTTAACCAGAATTGATATGAAAGAGTGATACCCAAGACGGATGGGTCAAAACTGCTAACACAAGAATAGAAGGAAAAGGATAAGCATTAGTCCATTGTCTGGTCCGATGCTGACAACATGGCCTTATATTTAGTACTAGGAAATAGATCAAGCCCTTCGCCGCGCCACATAAAAAATTTCTCAGAAGACTTCGTGCTCTAATGTCGATAAACCTGGGCATTGTGATCAATTGTAATACAGTTTTTTGAGCTGTTGACCAAGGTTGGTAGCAAGATTTATTTAACGACAAGCCAACGTTTCGGCGGTCCATCCGCCTCCTTCAGGGCTTCCTGAAAGATCGAGACTTTGAGAACTGCCGACTCAAACGCCGTGTTTGGCAATGGATTTAGTTTGACTATGTGATGGAGTGGCAGAGTAGATGTTAAAAGCCTGACCTCAGCCTTGCTAAATCGGGATGTATAGACCGAACAACCAGTACTGCGCTGTAGCTGCGCTATGAGTGAGTTTGATAGTCAATGTCAACAATGCCCTTTATATGGTCACCAGTGCGTCACCTCTGCTTCGCAGAGGCTCGCACTGGTTCTACTATCTAAGCCCTACTCATTCTCGCATAATGATGGCATTGAAACTCACCGAGCAATGCCTACTATCATGAACAAAATGTAAACAACTACTCATTCCGAAAGCTTTTTCATGTGAAATCGGTGATTTCGCGTAAATGATTTTTTTTGCAGGAGAACAAAGCAAAATTTTGTAAGTTTTTGATTATCCCATAGTCTTGACAGTCGCCATAAGAACAGTAGACACCATAAGCTACATTTAGGTGCAAAAATCTCATTAAATGCTCTGTTAAAAGCTTGGCAAAATGACCATCTACGCAACCAATACTTTTTGGCGCCGTTTTTGTACCGTAGTGGACTTCTGATCACTTTTTTGGGCCTAAGTTCATGGTTTGCACATTTACTTGCCATAAACATCCACGAGCCTGCAAAAATTGGAATTACGGACCCAATTTTGGGGACGAAAAGCCAGGTGGGTCCGATTGACGCGCATTTTTTGAGGGATCCGCTAAACGGATCCGCTCAAGCTTTGATATAGTGGACTCTCATGTTGGTGGCATGCGCTGTGCAAAATTTGGGCTTAAGATGTTGGCTGGCAACCGTTCTATGAATTTCGTGACAGACAGACAGACACACATAAAAAACACGTAAACATCCTTAGCCCGTTATTGTAAGTTATGATAGAAGATCTCTATCAAAATCCACATAGTGTATTAAGAGAACAGTTCACTGTTTATGGCAATGCCTTCATCTTTGCGGTTCATTTTTGGTGCTTTGGACGCTGTCCAAACGGTCAACGTTTTGCGGGCTATAAACTCGAACTCGTGCGACAAGATCTTGTCTTAAATAAAGCTTGCTACCAACCTTGGTCAACAGCTTAAAAACTGTATAACAGAGCGACATTGTCTAACATCGGAGATATTGAAGCTAGTAGGCGCTGAACTTGAGCGTACGTTTACTAGCATCAGACTTCTGGAGAATGGTACACCATGGTACTTCGGATAACGGCATGCGATCGCTGTAACATCTCAGACAGTCGAAGGGATATCTCCGGCGGGCATATGGCGCGAGTCTGCCACTTCGCGCTCCGGAGCCCTGCCATTTCACGCTTTTTGTGCTCCGGGGCTCTCTCAAAAGTGGCGCACCTCCGGAGCAGAGATTCGCGCGTCGCGGAGAGGGGTCCCATTCATTCACCGTGACGTCACGGTGACGTCACAAACAGAACGAATGGGACCCCTCTCGGCGACGCGAAAATCTTTGCTCCGGAGGTGCGCCACTTTTGGGAGAGCCCCGGAGCACAAAAATGCGTGAAATGGCAGGGCTCCGGAACGCGAAGTGGCAATCCTCCACTGGGGAAAGCGCGCGACCCTGCCACTTCTGCTCCGGAGGTATCCCATCGACTGTCTGAGATAGTGCAATCCACACGACGGTATCCTCACCGCAACCATTTTCTGCTGCAATCTTTCGATCGCTCGACGTAGTCCTTCCATCCATTTTGATGCTGATTTTACACTACGCCCTAGCTATCACGCATCTAATGGGCTTTTCTCTGTTTCGACCTGATCCCAACAAGGTTTTGAGAGAGCCAAGCTTTGAAAGCATGAGGACAAAAGGTGTGGACATTATGACAGAAATTCTGAAAATCTTGCCTTTGGAATTCCATTGCTATGAAATCTCCGGCGCTTTTCCAGAGAGGAAGTTGGGATCAAAGTGACTTCTCGGTCACGAATAGTTTCAACATTGTCTCAGTTGTATCTCCGAATGCCCATACTTGGAGCAAATCGTGGCCTTCTCATTGCGGTTACGGTTTAGTTAATTTGTGATGTTTTTTCCATCGACTTCAGAAACAATCTGTTTGCCTAACGACATTCAATTTTGACACATATTATTACATTTTAAAACAATCTTGTTTAACGCAAAACTGACATTTAAGACTTTTCAAGGAGCAGCATTTCATTTTTATCGTAAAGTGCACATTATTGATAAATTTAGATAGTTCTTCTCACCTTATCGTCTTAATGAACCACAATTAAGTCCACATTTTTGAATTCATACTTCAATTTTGAAACTTCCTTGAAAATTACTGATGAGGGGCACCATGGAAGCTGCAGTACCGGTATAGTTCTAAGCGCCGAAACCGGATAGTGTAAAAACGCACAAAAAAGCTATGAAGTCCTTGTATTCCTGGCTGATTTCATCAAATATCTTTTACTACAAAAAAACGCAAATTTGTCGTTATACGTCGTATTGTTCGCAAAAGCCGCAAACATTGCATGGTTCATTGCTATGGCTACTCCTTTCCGCTGAAAATGTGTAGTAGTCGCCATAGAAACGCATCACCTTGCAAAAGACAAGTTGTCGCAATAAGCAGAAGTTACCAGTTGAAAAATGTCTGTTGATTCACTGAATTTTATCATACAAAATTTGAATTCTCCACCATTTAACTGCAACACTTCCTTGATCGCTTTCGATCTTTGGTCACCTACTACACTACTGCAAACCCTCAGCGATGTCATAAGGTTAGCAAAAATTTAGCCATTTTTGGATATAATAATTGCAAAAATGGCCGTTTAGTTGCCTGAAAATTATCTCTATTTTGTATGTGATAAAGAGCATTCAGCTGGATCACACAATCTCCAAATGTCGATGTGATGAAAGAAACAGCTGATGAAACTGCTCTTCGTCTGTTACATCACTTGAAAATTCTCAAATTTGAGCCTCCATCCGATGTCGATGATCTGTAAGTTCAAACTTTAAAAGGGAGAGAAGAGGTGGTTCAAGATATTGATGATCTAAAATTCTGTACGATAAGACATCATCACGAAAATAATGTCACCATATTTTACCCAAAAAAAAGAATTGCATAGAAATTTGCCTAAAAAGTTTTTGATTTTTTGATATCTTAAAATATCTGTTTGTCTAGAAATGGTACTGTCTAATAAGATAATCTACCATGATAATGTATTTTAAAACAATTCTGTGAATTCTTTGTAGAAGGTTACTTCACTACTTGCATCAAAATTACTTTTTATCATTTTTTTTCAATTCCTTCGTTAAATTTAAGCTCTGCGAAACAACGAATCCAGTCCTTTCAAGCTCTCCTGTTTAGTAGCCTAACCTTTTTTTATTGATTTTCTGCAAATTTTTTCTTTTTCTCAGCAATGTTCGGGTCTCAAAATTTCAAGTACTCCTCGAAATCATTGTTATTTCAGCGAAGAATGGAGGTCTGGTCTGGTTGAGGGTGCGAAAAGATCCGTTTATCCCGTGCTATTCTACCTGTTTTCAAATATCGACGCTCTAAAACAGAGGGCTTACCTAGCCAAATATTTGGTAAAGGTGGGTCATTGCTAAGTCAAGCATGGGTAAATATTTCGCATACCTTGCATCTTTCTAGGTTGAAATTCCAAGCGATGTGCACGATGTGGACACACAGGAAATGCAAAATGAGTTGGCACAACTAATGGAAAGATTCAAGGTTGGAGAACTGCCAAATATTACTTAAAAAATCAAAAATGCCTAGATTTAGGTCACTCATGCGAGTGTGTTAGACGTACAGCAGGATACTATGCTAATCGAGGATATCAAGGCGGATTTGAAATCGATGACTCTCGAGAAGGAGGTTTTATCGAGAAAAATTGAAAAGACAATGAAAAAGATCGAAAACTTGCCATCATTGAAAAGGTAGGAGTTATTTGGCTGAAGTCCCACCATAAGGATATCAAAAATTATTCAATTGTTTAGGCAAATGGCAGCAGCCGTAGATCTACGCATACAGAAAAATCGTCTCAATGAGTTAGAAATGCAACGATATGAACAGCGCGATGGGGTGAGTTTTCATCTAAAGTTTTAGGTAAATCTGAATGCCCAGTATTCTTATGTGGAAACTAAATGAGTAGGTTTAGTAGAGCCGTTGCCCAAGCGGGAACTCATATAATTTATTGATAGACGAGAAACTCAACTTTAAATTCTCGCCCAGACCGTGTTTTGATGCACTAAGTACGGTTACAGGGCCCGGCACGAGGTGGGCAAACGAGGTTTTCCAAAACGAATTCCCCTTTGATCCCAATAAATTTTACGATTACCCCCTTGAGCCCAAAAATGACGTTTTGTGCTTGTGCGACGAGATTACCGGCCACACTTCGCCTAAAAGCGCTCAAAAGCACCCAAATTGCTCAAATTCCTCAAATAACTCCTCAGCTGGATCAAGATAGAAAACAGGAAGAAAAATAAGCAAGAAAATGATTAAGGAATGAAAAAATATCAAAGAAAACAGTCATAGGAATGAGAGACGCCGCTCCCGCGCGTATCGATTGACTGGAGCGCGCTTTCCATCTTAAAAAGCTAGGCTGCTGATGCGATTTTGGGCTCTAACAAGGTCAAGAGGAGGAGTTTCGGAACCAAAATTTCACCATGTAGTAAACTTTAGGTGTACAACAGATTTATGTAGAAATTTTGAAAAAATTATGTGAACTGAGAGAGTTTTGCCGACCTCAGGTGGGAATTAAGTCGGCAAATGCCGACCTAATTTGGAAATTAGTTAAGGAAACTCTTCATTCACATAAGTTTTTCATAATATTTCATACTTAGTTACTTAGTCCTACTGCGCATACACACACCGAATCCCGCGCGATTTCGTTACCTCTGCGTTGCAAACGAGCCATTTTTCCATTTTTTGATAGCGCAAAATTTTCAGAAAAAAGTTTGCCACAACCTTCAGTCACATAATTTTTCAATGAAACTCCTCAGTTAAGCCCTGCAAGTCCGTGTGCATGTACTTACCAAGTTTCATGCCATATCGTTCATCTGCGCGTTCCAAACGAGCCGTTTGAATTCACATCTTCATTTACCAGTTTTGCGAAATTCTCGGAAAAAAATGCTAATTACTCGTTCCGTTCACACATAAGTTTTTCATAAATTTTCATACTATGTTTCCACTAGCCTCTCTCCGTTCGCATACAAAATTTGGTGTCATATCGTTACACATACATTGAGAACTAGTCATGCATGCTGTTACAAATAGCATCGCTTGGGCGACGTCGCGCGTGCGGCAATTAGCGATGGCGCGGTTTGACGCGCGCGAACTCCAGTGTTCGCCTGTTGAGGCACGTAATATGTCAAGATAAGTAGCGAGCATGAACTACCAATTTTTTTCCGGGGCTCCGCCCCGGACCCCGCAAAAACGATTTCCCCTTTGCTTTTTGGCCCCAAAACGATTTCCAGCTTGTCATTTGCCGACCTCGTGCCGGGCCCTGTACGGTTATGGGCGAGGGTTCCAGAATGAATTTTTTGGCTGCGATTGAATCATATGCGCTGCTGTTTGGAACCGGGGTGCACAGTTTCACTTGTTTTGGATTTCTCACAAGGAATTTTTGTTTGTGATGAGTATATTACGCAGGTTTTCAGATGATTAGTACGGAAAAGAAAATACAACGGCTAAGAGATCAGTTGGCTGAGTTGCGCTCAATATCTGAGAATCTTGACCCGACTAATCTCATCGCCCAATTAGAGGTATTCCTCTTTCCTTGAAATTTTGGGACTTCTATATTCATATTTTTGAAGGATGATATAGCAACGAATACGTATCTGCTAGAGGTGAAGCTCAGCGCAGAACGTGAACAAAAGCGCCAAGTGCTTAACGAGCTTGCTAGAGTGTCGAATATGCCCGCAATAGAGCAAGCTGACATTAACAAATTACAAGCAGAGGTTGGTGATCTTAAGGTCCGGGCATACATCACGGGACTTCATCGCCTTGCGATTTTCCCAACAAGACAACTGGCACAAGTTGATTGCATGTCGATCATCTTGCATTTTGGTTGTGATGGTTTACGAAGCTATCAATCGTGACTAACTATCTCAACCGAAATGTAAGATGATCGGTATGAAATAACTCGTAAACTAAATACTGATAAATACAACTCGTAACAGTTGTCTTGTCGGAACAGCGAGGCGACGAAATAGCGTGATGTACTCCCGGCCCTTTGCATAAACTTAATTTCTTATTTGAGTAGATCTCTATGATAATGTGCTAATGCCTTTGAATTATATCATCTATTGCATTTTCTTTTGAGATTTGAAATTGAGAACTCCGCGCTAAAACACTGAAAACGCTGAAAACATAAAAATCAGCTGTTTTTTTTTCAGTTGGAAGCGAAAACAAACGAGATCATGGAACTCGAAAAGGAAAGAGATAAGGATGAAGAAAGCACGGATGAAAACTTTAGGTAAGTTCCGTTCTGCAAAAGTGCTCCTACTGAATATTATTTTGCTTTATTTTCAACTTAGACGGTCCTGCTAACCGCAACTTTTAAATTGGAGAAATTCCTACTTACAAGGGAAAGTTCCCATGTCAGCTCGGCCAACCCGGATGAGTCATATATCACCGTAACGGGCTTGAAACGCTGATTCCAAATCTGCTTTCCTTTTCTGCGGAGCAACTTTCCGAGAGAAGTTATGAGCGTTTAAATGTCTAAATTTGTCATGTTCAAAGTGGCTTAAAATCAGTTAAAAGCTGTAAAGCAACACCTAACGGAATTTCATTATCTGTGTTCCGTCCTGGTAATCAACATACTTGATACAAAACTGATAAATCATTTTTATGTGTTATTGTACAGGTCTCGCCAATTTTAAGCCACTTAAAACATGACAAATTTAGACTTTTAAACGCCCATAACTTCTCTCGAAAAGCCGCTCCGCAGAAAAGGAAAGCAGATTTGGAATCAGCGTTTCAAGCTCGTTACGGTGATATATGACTCATCCGGGTTGGCCGAGCTGATTGGGAACTCTCCCCGTTAGTAGAGCAGTTGTATCTCTACAGGATGTTTACAATGAATATGATTCAAATCCACTTGAAGTTAGGAACTATGATCTAAAATCCTCAACTTGAAAAAATCAGATTTTCAGTCGAAAAATTTTTCCCGAGCCTAACTGCTCTCGCACATAACATATAAAAATTCGTGTAAACACTTCATATTCCATGTTTAATAATTGAGAAAAGAGAGTACCAGGCATAAAAAGACAGCCAGCACTCCTATGGACTCCTAGGGTCCTAAATTCCTACCCAGCCGCGTTTGTGATCGAGAACATCTAAAGTTGCCATTTGGCTGATAGAAGTGTGAGCCAGAGTAACTTACGCTCTATATGATAACATTTTTCAGCATCTTTCGTCATCAAGCTCTAGGAGTGGAAAGGAGGAAGGACGCTGTTGCTGAAAAGGTACAAGAAGCTCGGTCAGTAGAGCATTTCTCCGTTTTTGAATTCTTCTCCAGCACAAACTGTATACAAATTGTTGCTCAGGCATGAATTAGGGAGTCTACAACAACAAGTGGACCAGAGAAAAGATGTCCTGCGCAGCACAACGGGTGCAGAAGTAATGAGTGCACATCAGGTAGGATATGAGACTACGTACACAAGTAGGCAGTGTTCATAATTAAGCCTGTGCTGGCGCAGTGCCAACTGCGTTCCAGCGCCGTACCAACAGTGTAGCGCCATACCGGGTCCAGGTGATATCCAGGTGTCTAGTCACACCGTATTGGTCTAGCAGCATAGAGGTATGTCGGGCAGCAGACGCTGATACGGCGCTGGCACGGCGCTGGCACGGAAACTCTAGACGCATGGACGATAGATTCAGCTTTTCTTTTTCATTTCTGAATGTTACAGTTCAAAACTTACGTTGGTCGAATAAGAGACAAGAAAGTGGTCTACAAGAAGAAGAAAATGCAAATCGAAGAGCTTCTAACAGAACGAGAAGTACTGCTAAGGACAATGAATCTCTTGCCGAAGAATGTCGAACAGCTGGAGCAGAAAATTGTTAGAAGATCGTTACAAAGCACGCTTGTTCAAGTCCGCAAATTTATGTTTCAGGAAAGTTTTGGAGCCGAGCCCATTACCGTATCGTCGGCCCTACCATCTTCTCATGCTAAGATAGCACTGCCGGATACGACTGATGTTGAAGAGTTGAGAGGTATTGTGACAGATCTGGTGCAAGACCTAGATCAACAAAGGGATACTGTAACGGAGTTGAAGAGGAGAAGAAATGACTTGCAAGAGGTTTTCAATGTGAGAAGAGTTTTCTTTTCTATTTATGGCATCAATCACTCTTGGATGCAATTCAGGGTGAGGAGGAGACGTTTGACAGCAAAAAAGCTGAGTATGAAAGTCGTCGCGCACATCTTAACGAAGAATTTGAAGAACTAAAACCTGTAAGCTAGGCCAACCCCTTTTACTTTTCCTTCTGCAAATCAGCTCTGCTCTTTTAAGCTCATTCAAAGTCTTGAAGAAAGACAGGAAGAAGCCGAGAAAACTATACCACAAGTTGAGGAACAAATAAATGAAGCTGAAAAACAATTGTCTGCATTCAATTCATCTGCTTCGAATCCAGATGAAGATCTGAAGGTACGCATATGAGTTTTTCACAGCGCTTCTTACCAATTTTTGTGGCTCGAATATTTTTTGCTGCCTCATGCTTTTTTTGAATGTTCCGATGATTTCGATTTTATTCTTCTAGGCTCAACTTGAAGAGGAGCAAGCAATAGCTGAATCGCTTCTTCAAAACAATGGAAGCCAAATTACTGATTATGAAGCTGCTAAAAAGCAAATGATACTCTGGAAAAGTCTTTTGTCAATGTTCGAGGCCAAGATTGCTTCTACGAATGAAGATCAGCACTTGGGGTATGTCTCTTAAAACCTGTCTTCTACTTCAGCTTGCTGTAGAAGTAAAACGGTTGACGATTTTTAGAAACGAGGACAGCTAGAGGTGAAGCCATTGACGGCTATTGTACAGTCAAGAAAGCTGAAAAGAAATTTAGTGATTTTAGTTCCAACAGTTGTTGGATTTTGTTCGAGTTTACGTTTCTGAAGACAGTTAATCATCTAAAATGTATATAAATGAAGCCAATGTTTGTTTATACAATTATTCTGTTTATGTCTATGTGAGTGAGTCAATAAAGAAATTTTTTTGATGCCAGTTCGGTCCATACTTTGCATGTTATCACTTTGAGCTTGAAGACATTGGATGCTCATCGTTGTTGACGAAATCGATTTATTGATTATTAGGCAAACTTCGTGCTAGGAGGAGGGAACCAGTTCTGAGCGAATGATGCGACTGCCCGCGGGCGATTAGAAACGCGTGAAGTATGCATGGAACCCTGCAGTATTTGTAATTACACAGACTTCACACTCGAATCACATGCGCGGATCCTTTTAGTATATAAATTGGGAACATTTGGCGAGATAGTAGTATGCCCCTTCGTCTCAAACCCTGACGTCCCCATAGTGTTCCGGCCACGCCGGAACCCCTGCCATATATGGGCCCTTAGCTTGCATCGGAGGAGGGGCGCTTAGCCCCGCGCTTTTCTTTTTGCGTTCATTTGAGCAACTTGCCAATATCCTGATAAAACTTACCACTGAACCACTACTTTTAATTGTATCAAAAAGGGCCTGCCATACGCCCCGTACGCAAGGCTATACCACAAGCCTTAAAGGCGGCGGCTCGACAATTCTCGTTTTGAAGTTTTTTTTGGCTTAGCTGGGGTAATTCGAGAAGCCGATTCCAAAGATCCACCTTGAAGAGCGCGAAAATGGCAAAAAACCACATCTCCCAAGGCCTCCCATTTGTAATTTGGACGAGTGGACCACGCCCCGCCATGGCTAGAGAGGCAGAATCGTTGCGGATCCTCGCAGTTATAACACTGTGGCATGCATTCTCTAACGGGTCAGGGGGGATCGCAAGCTCGTCGGCGCGTGTTAGGATGGCTTGCGCGTAACGGGGTTTTCTAGGCAAGGGCAGCATGCTGTGCGCTTGGACCTGCTCTGTTCTCATGGTTGGGGTGTAGGCAACCTTCCACCTCAAAATTTCGGGATGTTCGGTTTTGGCGAGCTCCCGCCTTTAAGTCGCCACACCTTTCTAACATTGTATGGGGAAAGTGCTTGACTGTTTGAGAACGCAAGACATTACACTGTCTCGCAGAGTTATACATGCCAAGTTCAAAGACGAATGGTGTAATCATGTAATCAGATGCGAAGACAAGATGGATTGAGAAAATGCTTTTGAGATTGTGCACTGAACGCCGAGCAATGTGTTTAGTTACCGTACCGTGACTCATCTCCGGTTTCGAAAGTGAGCATGACCATCATTAGAACTCGTCAAAGACAATAATTAACAGTAGTTTCACAATTTACGCTCAGCTCCAAGCACATAGGTCTTCGCTATAAAAAAATATTTCAGATGGTAATCGATTCTACAAAAGATTCCGATTATTATCGCAGATTACATGGCAGAACAGTTTTTGGAAATAAAAAATGAGCAAGCTGTGGTCTTGCTGGTAGGAATGAGGCCGAGGCTTACAGAATATCAAGGAAAAGGTTCCAAGTCAGCTAGACCAATCCAGATAAGGCATATATTACTGTAATACGCTTGAAATGCTGATTCCAAACCTGTAATTTTTACTTGCGAAACGGTTCTGTAGAAGAAATTGCGAGGGGGGGGGGGATGTTTTTCTTAGGACGAGGCGCTAATATGTCGCCCTTGTCTGTCACTTTGACCTGCTATAACTTCTAAAACCCACATTTTTCAGTGCGATAGAAACTATCAGAGGTGGCAAACCTTTTGCAATACTGCACATATCAGAATAACTTATATGTCGTAGATTATAATAATCTACAACCTTTAGCAATGTAGATCTATCTGAATGTTATATCTAATAGCTTGTCGTTGACAAGCGTTAGTGTTCACTGACCACTTAAGCCGCCAGGTCACCCATCCACTGTGCTTGACAGTCTACTTGGCGGCGCCTACTTTCATGTAGGCGATTCTTCATGCTGTATGATACTGTTGTTTGCCAGAAGTGAGCATTTAGGTTATCCACGCCCAAATCAGTGGCATAAAAGGGCCTGAATACTCAGTTCTGGTGTTGGTTCGATTAATACCACTATCGTCAGCGGCTGTTCCGCAATTATTCACTGTTGATAGTCAGCGGCTGCTCCGCTACTATCCAATAAACAGTTATAAACGTAGTGGTACCAGCTTGGTGTATACCAAATATCGGGCAAAAAGGGACTCGGGCAAAAAATATGGATGGAATATAAAAAAGTCTCTTTATCGAAAGTTCGGTTTTGAAAGACCATAACTATCTTTGAAGTTTGCTAGTATGAATGATAAGTAGAGTATCTTGTAGCTGCAAACCAATAGTAAAATTGACGATGAAAAGGATTTGGGCAAGCAAGATCTGCGGAAAGAAAAAATCAAAGTCTGAAGTTGTCTTTTTCCTTCAGCATTTTTTCATAGGCCTCAAAGTGCCAAATCATGAAGATTTTTGATTTTTTGAACAATTAAACATCCTTACAAAAACTGCTTACAGGAGGCCTTTCCTTACTCGACATAAGCAAAGCTTTGGTGATCGGCTTCTTCAATAGAAATTTGGCCACAGAATGACTAAAACGAGTACCCATGTTGAGGCGCCGATATCTCAGTCTAGATTATTTCTAAACAAAATAGTAAAATGTAAGCAGAATGTACGATTTTAATAAATTTTATTATATACAGCAGCTGAATTTCCGATAATTGCAATGAAATCGTGGTTTTGAGTGCGGTTGGTGGAAGTGTAAATTTTCAACAAATGGAGCTAGGAGCCGCTGTGAAAATCATTAGATAGAGTTTTAAAGAGCTCAATAGTATGCTAAGTTTGTCCCAAAAATAAAGTTCGATTGAAAAAGTTGTATTGAGACGAGGTCTAGAAATACGCTCTATTTTTGCATCAACTCAAATGCAAGTATGAATCGCAAGTCAAGCTGTCGCGTTACCTAATCCAAAGGTTTCACCAGTTTAGCTCAAAGTTGTTCCAAATCTGAACTTGCTAAGATAGTATATACACTAGTCTACAAAATTTTATCTATATATGTGTCTACCCATTATCAAGCGCTGACATGTAAACAGGGGCTTCATTATCAGTGGCATACTCAAGGTTGAGCGAAAAGTGGCAATCATTTTTGATGAAGCGCAACGGTATGAGGTTTGTTTCTACTGTCTTGCAATGGAGGGTCGATTTGAAGTAACCGACGACCACAGGATGCCTGCCGTTACAAAGGGCTCAAAGCTTTTCAAATCTGCTTTACGCATTTGCAGAACGCTTTTGGAAAGGAAGTTATGAGCGTTTTTATCATCAAGATTTGCATGGATTTGAGTAGCTAAATTATGGATGCTTTCAAGTTGCTTTTTGCGCTACAGGATAAGATTCTAAAAGGCATCATTATCACTTTGAGCATGGATAAGGTGTTATAAGTGAGCTTGCGTCCAAATTGCTTAGGTATATTGATGGTTTACTCTCGGCTTGCAAATTTCCCGCACATAAATTTACAACTTACTTCATAAAAGATTCTGCAGATAAGGATACCAGAATTGAAATCAGGCTGCAAGCAATCAATGTCATCAGTTTTTAAGCATCTAAGCACGTTTCACATTGCCTTCAGTACATTCGCCAATTTTATTAGCATAGACGCTACTTTTGAAAGATCCATGTACCTGTTCATTGCTTTTAAAGAGTAGCAGCTTTTTGAGCCGCTTGCTCAAAAGGCATTGCTAAGAGATTGGTTTTCAACAAGTTTCTTTATGTCGCGAGAAGCTTGCGATGCTCTGCGTCAGCAGCAGTTTATATAGTGGAAGTCTTTGCTTGAAGGTGCCGTCCACACAAATATGAAACTTATGACAAAGCATACATTAGCGTTGCTTCCCCACCCCAAACATGAACAGTGTACGAATCCGCTGCAAAACAAAGAAAAGCGAGAAAATAACTGCAAAACGTGGACGAGGTCATTACTTCTATCAACTTACAATTAGTTGGTCTAACAAGGGAAGAATGGTTGGTCAAAGTGGCCTTTTGGGACCAAACATGTACCATCTTGAAGGGCATAAAACGTTAACTCAAAATCTGTTTTTCTTATCTGCGAAGCACTCCTGCACGAGGAGACGTGCCCTTATTAGAGCTTAAAATTGCATGTTTAAATAAAATTGAAGTAGTCGTAACATTTTTCGCTTTTGAGTGGAGCAATTATAATAATCAAAACACTTTATGCATTGAATACACTCATATAAATTATATCGCACACTCCAGTGCTTCATTTGAACGTTAGAAATTTTAGCAACTGATGTTATTCTAGAGACTCAATCAAGTTTTACTGCAATAAATGCCCATAACTCCCCGTCCATGAGGGCTCCGCAATTAATAGGGACAGATTTTAAATCGGCGCTTTATGCTCTTCAAGATGATATGTTCCATCTCAAAAAGACATTCGACTAAACATCCTTTCCTTGTATGTGGGGATGAGTCCAAAATGAGCAATACCTAGGAATCCCAAAAACAGTTTCATAAAAAAGGCGCGTTCTCTACATTAAAGACTGTTTGAAGTCCAGTCACGCTCACTTCATATTACCCACCAGTGCGTCACCTCTGCCTCGCAGAGGTTCTACTATCTATGTGCCTTACTCGTTCACGTAAAATCGTGGCACTGGAACTCGCCGCGCTATGCAGACTATCACGAATAAAACGTAAACAACCACTCATTTAGAAAGTCTTTTCACGTGAGATCGGTGATTTCGCGTGGATGAAACTTTTCGCAGGAAAACAAACGCAAATGTGAATGGGTTTTTGGATTTGTCATGACTTGGTAGTCGCCATAAAGGTAATGATAACCTTGAGCTACATCACTGTGCGAAAATCTTCTGAAACGCTTAGCTAGAACCTTGGCAAATTGACCATTTACACAACCAAATCGTTTTGGCGCCGTTTTCGTTATGAAGTAAACTTTCGGCCACTTTTCTGGCTAAACTCCATCGCTTGCACATTTGCTTACCAAACTCATCCACGACTCTGCAAAAAGTGGTGATACGACCGAATTTTGCGGTACAGAAACCAGGTGGACCCGTTTGGCGCGCAATTTCTTAGGGATCCACTCAACAAATCTACTCGTGCTTTTGCATGTTGGACTTTCATAAAGGTAGCATGCGCCATGCAAAATCTGGGCTCAAGACATTAACTGGAACACGCTCAACGAATTTCGTAACAGACACACACACAGACAAAGTCACATAAATACCCTTAGCCCGTTATTATAAGTCATGATAGTGATGGGTGAGGCGATTCATCTATATATACCTTCTTAGATTTATCGTTTTGCTTCACGAGAGCTTTTTTCTTTTTATGCATTCTGATTACTTTTTTCCTTATTTTTCACCAGAAGATGAGCAGGAAAGAAGGAGGTCGCTTCAACTTTTTTCTTGGCGGTCATTGTATGCTCATGTTCCAAGTGATATTAGCTACTTGAATAATTTTATCGAAAGCGAAAAAGCATTCTTCAAAACAAATCATGACTTTTTTAGCTTTAGAAACAATGTTCATATTACGTGAGGAGTTGGTTCACATGAAATGCAAGGGTTGCGAAAAAATCATTTTTGACTTATTTCGTGTCACATTTGAATAGTAGTCGTTTTCATATTCTTTTCTCCCATTGTGACCACTCTTCCTTCAGTTCCCGATTAGAGTCGATTTAGCACAAAAATATGTTAGCGTAGTCGTTATGAAATTCGCAAATCGCAGTTTCGAAATCCTGGAAAAAGCAACGGAATGAAAGCTTGCAGGCGTTTTCTTGGGCCTGCAATTTTCAAAAAAACGGAGCATCAGTTTACAGTGAAAAGAAGAAACTGCAGTTGTGTATAACCCATCTCTGGGACATTTGAAAAACTAAAAAAAGTAGTGTGAGCTTGGACTGTCCTTAATAATAGGTATTAACACCTTTATTCTATAATACCTAGTCATTTGTAACTTAATATGTGAGAATGCACACTAAGCCCTATTAACGACGCACCCATACTAGTAACTTTCCCGTGAATCATTTTCTAGCCTAAGAAAGTGTAGAAATGTGTTCTATTGAATAATATGTAACTAACAAAACGACTATATCGACGATTGATGTAGAATTACAGAAAAATGCAAAGATTATTCGATTCAAATGGTAAAAGTTTTCGTCAATCAACTTGCTCTGGGTCAACGAATCCAAGAATCCAGAAATACACATATTTTAGCTGTTGGTTGGCATGCCTCTGCATTATACCAGTGGGTACTATCATGTCGATTCAATTAATCTGTGTCGAGAACGACCCGCCGGTCGAGAATACTTCGGCTTACCACCAACTTGAGCAGCTATTTAGCGAACGAATGGATGAAAAGGCAAGCCGATATCTTGAGCTTATAAAAGTTTTCGTAAAAATGTGTTCATGTGTCATCAGCCTTTAAGGCTCAGGCGGCATAGTACAGTTGCAGCGGTGGAATTTGTCCAAAACTGCGGGATTGTCGGGATTCGCGGGATTGTCGGGATTCGCGGGATTCGCGGGATTCGCGACTTCGCGGGATTTGCGGGATTCGCGGGATTTGCGGGATAAGCGGGATTTAGCTATAACTTCTTTTAAAGTAGCTTTATTTGTAATCTGAGTGAAGATTTGGCTTCAGCTTGATGAGACGAATCTTTTGATATACGGTATGTCCGTAGTTCATAGTGACGGGGTAGACATACAATGATACCTTGTTGTTTTCTACGTTAAGGCTTTTGTGAACATTTATCACAGTGTAAATCGCGTATAGGAGGTTCTGGTACGAAGCTCTCGTTATCGAAAACTATCGCGAAAAATTGGGCAGTTTTTATCTACCCTTATCGCTGATATAAGCATTTTATCATTTATCACTGATAATAACATATTTTTGGATCATTTTTTGCATATGGTAAGGAAAGTACTGTAGGAAAAGCTGTGTGAATTTCTATCGCTCTTTCTCCCATTATAAGTTATCTACAGGCTTTTCTAGTTCTATTGCTCTGTGCGATTGGTAGATCCCTCGCTGCAGCAATCGATCGATTTTTCATCGGCACATGCCATTGCTGCCAATTCTTACCTAGAATGGCATTTTTGCTTCAACTCGCTTCACGCCGAAGCCTGGGCTGAAATTCTGTACATATATGGAAGATGAACGTGGAAATCGACCGCATGAATTTAAGCCATTCTTATCTGTCGTTGTCATTGATATCATCATTTTATCATTTATCACTGACGACACAAAATTGGATCATTTTTGATATACAACAAGAAATGTACTTTAGAAAACGCTGTGTGAGTTTTTATCGCTCTATCTCTTATAGTACAAAACCACTCACAGAACATGCAAAATTTCCGGGAATTCCGCGAAATTCATGTGAATCACGCAAATTACGCAGGGCCATAACTTTTTTCCGAATGAGTATATTCAAAATCCGAAAACAACGTTGTGTTCAGCTCGTCAAGGCAAATCTTTGGATATACGATTGTCTCCAATATCTTGTTTTCAATTATCTTGAATTTGCATGCCGACGCCTCTTCGCATGGGTGTAACGCAACAAGCATCACACATAGGAGACTGCCATGGGCACCGTTCGATAGTACTCTTTCACTAGATTATCATGCGCTAAACAGCAGCCGAAGCGAGCTGATAAACTGTGGAAAAATTAAGCTGTTCCAAGTTTTACTAGCCGTAACTTTCTTTAGAATGAACATTTTCGAAATCAGAAAGCAGATTTGTGTTCATCTTGTCAAGTCGAATCTTACTGTATACGGCATGTTCTTGAAGTTCCGTTTTCAATTTTTTCAAAATTTTTTGCGCGCGTATATTCACAAGGTCGCAACGCAGCGCACATCAAACATAAAAGACTCTATTAAGCACTGTTGGATTGTGCTGCTTCCGCAGATTATCGAGTGCTAAGAAGCAACCGGAGAATCGTTTTGAGAAAAGATAGAAGAGCTGGTGAATTTTGGAAAATCGTGTTGTCTCAAATTTTGCCAACAGTGACCCTAAAATGAGAAGCTCTACTGCTAAGCAGATGTGATTTTCGTAATCAGCAGGTCAGATAACCTCTATGAGCAAGTTTTCAAAGAAATTTGGGTGATTCGATTTTTTCTCGTTCTACGCCCTGAAGCTCGCCGATGGGTTTTGGTCAAAAGTCTTGGATTGTAAAGAAACTTGGATTGTAAAGAAACTTCGCCCAAAGAGGTTTTCGAACACGCTGTTTACGAAAATAGGGGTCTTTGAAGAAGACAGGGTCTTTTTGTAGAGATATTGTGAGGTGAGTGTAACTGAGTCACGAAAGTTCGTAAATTTGCCTGCACTTTTCGCGAATTTGTCAGAAAACTAGCCTGCTTGCTTTTCCAAGTCAAAATCACTGGGAACTGTGCTATCAAAAGGTGCATGCTCAGGCTTTAGTCTATAAAGTTTGCCGAGTTACGAGCCTACGAAAAGACGTCCTCATAATTTTCGCTCAAAATGTAAAAATCGCGTATTTCGTCTCAGTGGTTGTATGACATTCTGTTGCATATGCTCACTTCGCCTAAGGGATCCCATTGAGTTGAATATGGTGGTCGCGCGTTCTTCAGCTGCTCATTTGAATATCCAGGTGTCAAGTCTGATGAGTTAGCTATTCTCTTAACTTGATCCCTCTACCCTTAGTTTCTTTCCTTTGTAATAACATAACAGTTCTGACTAGATTATTTTATCGTTATAACATAAATATAAATATGAGGGAACATAATTGGGGAGGGGCCACCGAGCACCCGGGGAGTGCCAGCTCATCTGAAGTTGGTGGCACCGCCCAGTCGGCGAAGGGACTGTCGGACTCTAATTAGTCTGCGTCTCGACACAAGCACCTTCGTAGCTTGAGCTCAGATCTAAGGGCGGAATTTCGACGAAATACGCGATTTTTACATTTTGAGCGAAAACTATGAGGACGTCTTTTCGTAGGCTCGTAACTCGGCAAACTTTATAGACTAAAGCCTGAGCATGCACCTTTTGATAGCACAGTTCCCAGTGATTTTGACTTGGAAAAGCAAGCAGGCTAGTTTTCTGACAAATTCGCGAAAAGTGCAGGCAAATTTACGAACTTTCGTGACTCAGTTACACTCACCTCACAATATCTCTACAAAAAGACCCTGTCTTCTTCAAAGACCCCTATTTTCGTAAACAGCGTGTTCGAAAACCTCTTTGGGCGAAGTTTCTTTACAATCCAAGTTTCTTTACAATCCAAGACTTTTGACCAAAACCCATCGGCGAGCTTCAGGGCGTAGAACGAGAAAAAATCGAATCACCCAAATTTCTTTGAAAACTTGCTCATAGAGGTTATCTGACCTGCTGATTACGAAAATCACATCTGCTTAGCAGTAGAGCTTCTCATTTTAGGGTCACTGTTGGCAAAATTTGAGACAACACGATTTTCCAAAATTCACCAGCTCTTCTATCTTTTCTCAAAACGATTCTCCGGTTGCTTCTTAGCACTCGATAATCTGCGGAAGCAGCACAATCCAACAGTGCTTAATAGAGTCTTTTATGTTTGATGTGCGCTGCGTTGCGACCTTGTGAATATACGCGCGCAAAAAATTTTGAAAAAATTGAAAACGGAACTTCAAGAACATGCCGTATACAGTAAGATTCGACTTGACAAGATGAACACAAATCTGCTTTCTGATTTCGAAAATGTTCATTCTAAAGAAAGTTACGGCTAGTAAAACTTGGAACAGCTTAATTTTTCCACAGTTTATCAGCTCTTCTATCTCTTTTGAAAGGGAGTCTTCGGCTGCTGTTTAGCGCATGATAATCTAGTGAAAGAGTACTATCGAACGGTGCCCATGGCAGTCTCCTATGTGTGATGCTTGTTGCGTTACACCCATGCGAAGAGGCGTCGGCATGCAAATTCAAGATAATTGAAAACAAGATATTGGAGACAATCGTATATCCAAAGATTTGCCTTGACGAGCTGAACACAACGTTGTTTTCGGATTTTGAATATACTCATTCGGAAAAAAGTTATGGCCCTGCGTAATTTGCGTGATTCACATGAATTTCGCGGAGTTCCCGGAAATTTTGCATGTTCTGTGAGTGGTTTTGTACTATAAGAGATAGAGCGATAAAAACTCACACAGCGTTTTCTAAAGTACATTTCTTGTTGTATATCAAAAATGATCCAATTTTGTCGTCAGTGATAAATGATAAAATGATGATATCAATGACAACGACAGATAAGAATGGCTTAAATTCATGCGGTCGATTTCCACGTTCATCTTCCATAGATGTACAGAATTTCAGCCCAGGCTTCGGCGTGAAGCGAGTTGAAGCAAAAATGCCATTCTAGGTAAGAATTGGCAGCAATGGCATGTGCCGATGAAAAATCGATCGATTGCTGCAGCGAGGGATCTACCAATCGCACAGAGCAATAGAACTAGAAAAGCCTGTAGATCACTTATAATGGGAGAAAGAGCGATAGAAATTCACACAGCTTTTCCTACAGTACTTTCCTTACCATATGCAAAAAATGATCCAAAAATATGTTATTATCAGTGATAAATGATAAAATGCTTATATCAGCGATAAGGGTAGATAAAAACTGCCCAATTTTTCGCGATAGTTTTCGATAACGAGAGCTTCGTACCAGAACCTCCTATACGCGATTTACACTGTGACAAATGTTCACAAAAGCCTTAACGTAGAAAACAACAAGGTATCATTGTATGTCTACCCCGTCACCATGAACTACGGACATACCGTATATCAAAAGATTCGTCTCATCAAGCTGATGCCAAATCTTCACTCAGATTACAAATAAAGCTACTTTAAAAGAAGTTATAGCTAAATCCCGCTTATCCCGCAAATCCCGCGAATCCCGCAAATCCCGCGAAGTCGCGAATCCCGCGAATCCCGCGAATCCCGACAATCCCGCGAATCCCGACAATCCCGCAGTTTTGGACAAATTCCACCGCTGCAACTGTAAGGCTGGCTCTAACTTAGAAGATAGTCAAATTCGAAGTGGCCGATCCAAACACATGTCTTTGGTGAAAGCTTTAAATTCCAAGCTTTCACCAAAGACATGTGTTGTGTGTCTATGTGCGATATTGTGAGAATTTGCTCACCCCCTCTTCACCCCTGAATCGGGACCAATGACCCCCTTCACCAATAATCGAGAAAAAAAATCAACAGTGAGGTAAGGCTAAGCAAAGGAGATATTTGCACGGGAAATGTTTGCGATCGGAAAGGAGGAAGAAGATTTATAAGGATTCACGAACTTCCAGAAGGAAAAAATATTAGGCTGGCTAAAAAATAAATTCGTTTTGGCATACAAATCTTCATTAAAAACTTTCGTCGATTTATATCTATGATTCTCT